GCATGTACTCCTATAAATGAGGTACATCTAATCCTCGCTCGTATATGTTGTTGAGTTGCTGGTATTTCTCAATCAAATCTTGAGAAGTAGACTATGAGGATCAAATTCTCTTTCCACCAGACATTCTCTAAAAAATCAATCAATCATATATTAGCATAGAGAATATACCAAGGATAGCTTAGAAATAAAAAATATTGAGAGAAAAATGAAGAAGAGTAAAAAAAACATGCAGTTTCAGCCTTCTGACCATCGATGGATGACTGTCAACCATGGATGGTTTAGCCTTCTGACCATCGATGGCTCGTTAACGGACCATCAATGGCATTCTTTGACCATTGATGATCCAAGAACTGAATTCGATGAGTTTTCACCCTAAATCGATCAAAACTCATGTACAAATTCAAATATTTTTTATCTAAACTAAACTACTTTACTACTCATCTGTCATCTATTAATGCAATTTATACCCATCAAAACACATTAAAACCCAAGAAATTTGAAGAACAAAAGCTAGGGTTTAGAATCCTCACCTTTTTCAAACTGATGTGATTCTAAAACAAAAGAGATGATGATTATAGATCAATCCAAACAAACCAAAAACAGCTTGAAAGCTCAAAAATCCTGAGATTTGGAGAGGAGAGATCAAAGGGTAAAAGGATAAAAAGGTAAAAAGTAAAAAACCTACCCCTTATATCTATCCATCGATGATGCATCATCGATGGACCATCGATGAAGAGAATTTTTTTATTCAATATTAAAAAAAATTAGAAACACTTACATGTATGAGGAGAGAATATATAATAAATATATCAGTCCATATCTCCTCATAATGCAGATTAAGGATGGGATTTGGCAACCTGAGACCTTAGCAATCATCATATATTAACTCAATCCTTGATCAAGTCTACAAAAAACAGATAATTGTAACATATGTATCCACATAGGTCCAGATTGGTTAGTAATAAGGCCTTTCGGAATCCAAATCTATATGATTGTTTTAATTCTATATCTCATACAATAGTTCATAGAAACATGACCAGTTTTCTACATAATGAGTATATAGACTGATAAGATCCATTGAGAATTGGATCAAAACAACTAAGATTATTACTCTTTACAAAAGAAGGTTGAAACTTTTTATATTTTTCAGAATATGAATAACCAAGTCCAGTTTTAGCTTTCGCATATCCTTGATTTGAAAGAACCATGTTAAGACTTTTTGAATGTAATGAAAATTTCTTCACGGTTTTTTCCAAATCACTAAGTTTGGACTTTAGTTGTTCGTTTTCGAAAATAATTGTTATGCATCAAGTTTCAAACTTAAATTTTTTAGATGAAAAATCACAAAATAACTCATTTATCTTAGCAACTAATTTCTCTTTTTCATATTGAATATTTTTGAGTTGCTTAGATAAACAAGAAATTTGATTTTGTAAGAACATTGCATGCACTCAAGAGAGGTTGAATCAACATAATTCAAATTTGAAGAGGAAAATTCAAAAAAATTTGACAGAATTTTATTTTCTTTCTTTAAATTTGTATTCTTCTTTTTAGTTTTTTATAATTCATGAGCTATATTTTCCAAATGTATTAATATTTGATCATAAGAGGATATACCTCTTCATCCAAATACTCAACATCAGAATAACTTGAGTTACTCTGATCTGAATCTGAAAACAAAGCGTCTTTTCCAATTAGACACTTCTTCTCTTATTTGTCATCTTCACTTATATCAGCATCAGACTCATCCTCATATGATATATTCCGGGTTATAACTTTAAGACTCTTGCCCTCCTTCGTCTTTTCTTTTCGGTTCAAGGGACATTGATTTTTGTAATGACTTGGTTTCCTGCAATGAAAACAAATAGGATCGGTTTCATATCCACTTAAAGAATTATCATTTACCTATTTAGTAGATTGATTTCGTCTTTTCTGAAGATACTTTTATCCTTTCTTTAATTTTAGAAAAGACTTGAACCCTTTTGTAATAACCGTAGATTGATCATCTTCATCATCTGAACTAGAGCCTGAATCCATCTTCGTGTTCGATCAGGATTTTTCTTTCTTTGCATGTAAAGCTAATGACTTCTCCTCAGAATGAGCGTGCCTACAAGATCATCAAGAGTAAGTTTAGAAAAATTCTAAAGTTCTTCTATTGCCATTACCTTTTGTTCCCAATCTCATGATAGAGAATAGAGTATTTTTCTACATAGCTTCTTGTTGTCGTACTCCTTCCTCAAAGCTTTTAATTTGTTCATGATATCAATAAATCATGTGAACATCTCCTATACAATCTCTAAGGCCTATATCTTGAAATTCTCATATTTACTTACTAGCATTGCAAGCTTTGCCTTCATCTTGAAATTCTCATGAAGCATTCATGGCTTTTGAATTATAAGAGTAAATTTGTTTATCCTGTAGAATCCACTTATTCTTAGATAGAACAATTGTAACACCATCTGCCTTAGTAGTAGGTTCCTTACATTCATGTTCTACACTTTTCCTAACATCAAAACTAGTGGACAACAAAAAAAAATTCATACATTCTTTCCAATATGTGTAATTAGTGCCATCGAAAAGTGGGGATCAGTTGATGGCTTATCCTTTAGGAAAGGCTGAAACGGTGGTAAGACTTGATATCTCTACCCTTAATATTTAAAGATGGGTAACAAGACTTTGATACCACTTGTTGGAAATGAGATAAAAGCCTAGAGGCAGTGAATAGGATTACTATAAAATTTTCGTATAGACACAAGATATGCATGGGAAAATAAAAAACGAAAAACTAAAAGCAACCAATTATAAAGAAATACACGAGATTTTATAGTGGTTCGGATCAAAATCCTATATTTACTCTTCCTTCTCGCGAAGGGCATTCTTCACTATGATCGAAGTTATCTCTAAATCACAGCTGGATTCAGTAGGCTCTACAAACATGACCCTACAATCTACCTAAAACCATTTGAGATACCCAAATTCTCACAACAACCAGAAGAAATCTAGCCTAGCTAATCGCACTCAATTACCCTGGCTTGAGCATGCCAACTCTCAATTACCCTGTCTTGAGTATGAACTTGCAAGTTTGAAATACAAGCTCAACCCTAAAATAATTAAAGCATAATTAAAAAAATCTTACAACCCTTTTAACAAATCACCCTTCAAATCGATGACGTTGAAGATCCATGAAGAAACAGTGCTGCAATCGAACACAAAGGACACTCCTCCTCACTAAAATAATCTCTCTATATTGAGCGTGATGAGAAGAAGGTGAATGAGCTTAGGGAATCAAATTCTTACTCAAACTCTCACAAACCCTAGAATTTGATCTCTTAAACTTATGCACTCCTTTCTCTTTCTTGTTGTTAATCTCTTCTCCAATCCCTCTTTAAATAGATCTTGATTGCATTGAAAATAATCATCTAATAAGTGTTAAAATAGGAGATCAAATATGTGATCAAATGGCTAAGATTAGATCTAAAAATCTGCCAAAATGCATTAAACAATCAATGGTTAAACCCGACCATCGACGGTTGATGTTGATCATCAATGGCTCCTTGTAGTCAATCAATTGTACAAAATTTGGTTTCTGAAATTTATCGATGGTTGAAGCGATCATTGATGGTTTACTATAGTCCATTGACGGTATGATTTCTCGTGTCTAGAAAATACAAATTGTTGACTGTACTCCATCGATGACCTATGAACCATTAATGTTGCCTCGTGATTATCAATGGTTAAAGGCTAAAATCAACCGTTCATGTTGATTTTTGCATCGTTTTGAGTCACAACTTATCCATACCTGTTTATTTCTGAAATATATCATCTCACAAACTTATTAATACCAAATGGGAGTTTGTTATTGATCAAATAAGAGATATTGCATGAACAATGTTCTTCCCAAACAAAATTCTAAAAGCTAAATAAACTTAGTAAAAAAAACTATTATTATTATTATGTAAATCATAAAGAGATCACTCCTTTAATTCTAATCATTCAGTGTTCAAACATCACTTCGCTCTCATTTGTCCAAACCCGGTCCAAGAACGAAGGAAGCAGTTAAAACCATAACCGAACTTACGATAGAACTTACGATAGACATGTCCGAAATGTTGGCTTGAGGGCTTGAGTGACACGACATGGGCGTTTTCAAATCATATGTTGATTTTCAGGACCAAATCGAAAATATCGGGGCCATATCGGGCATATCGACCGATTTTTCAGCCTTGAAAAATCAGTCGATATGGACTTTTTTTAGATCTGTTTTTTTATCGGGTTTGGATTTAGTGATAAAAACCCAAACCTGTTTGACCCGTTCTCATGTTTAAGGGTTTCTTATGAACCCGATAGAAAGAGAAGAGAAAATTTAGGACTACAACGGACTTAAAAACCGATCACTCCTTTCGTGAACGATGACACCCTTCCCTCACCTCCATCTCGGACCCCGGTCATCCATCTCCCGTTGCACCCCAAAATCCAAACCCCAACCGAACCCGAGGGTGGCAGGGTACCCCGTCGTCGGGATAAAGGAAGAGGGTGGTCGGTGACTCATCCGAAGGATTCTGAGCAGACGAGAAACAAGAAGAACCCCGACACTGCCTACCTACGACGTCTCGTTGCCGGCACTGCCTCCATGCGACGTCGGAATCCATCATCGACGCCGCCTCTAGAATTTATAAATTATGTTTATATTGAATTTAGGAATGCTTGGATTACATTTAGGAATTGATATTATACATATGCACACCACCCGATATGGCAATCCGATATTTAGTCCATGTCCCACGATATATCCCCAATTTTCGCTATCCGACATGAATTTTAATCCTCCGATATGAACGTGACATTCGATATTTAAAACCTTGCTAAAACCCCATCATCCATTGGACCCACTTACCCATACACCCAACTCCTCAAACCTACACGTGTCCGTCTTCAACCGCCCCCAAGAACTCTCAAGCAGTAGTCCACGTCTCCTTCCCTTGATAACCAGGAAAAAAAACAAAAACAAAAACAAAAAAGCAACAGACAAATCAACAACGAAAAGCCTCCCCCCCCACCTCTCTTCTTCCTTTTCCTCCCCCCTCAACAAATTAACCTCTGACCTCTCTCTAAACTTAATCAATAAGAAAGGGGGAGGTTATTGGTTAGCAACACGAGAGATGTAGAGGCCAACGGAGGAAATCACAGCCGTCGATTCTCGCCGGAGGTCGATGGATGAGACGCCAGGAGCGATGGGGACCACTGCCAGCCTGTCACTGAGACTGGGACAGACACTATTCTCCTCTGCCTCTCTCCTGTTCATGTCCGTCGGCGTTGAATTCTACGGCTACACAGCCTTCTGGTAATCTAAAAATCTCTTTTTAATTTCATGGGCTTTGTTATTTTGGATTGATTTGAAATACCCATGTCTTAAAATTTCATCTCGATGGATGAATTGTGGTTTTTGGTGTTCAGTTGATAAAACCCATGTCACAAAATCTCATTTTTATCGTTGTACGGTGCATATTATTTCTCTGTTTATATTTTAGGAATCCTATCTTTATGACTTTTTCCCCCAAAGTTCCCGTGTTATAAAAACATATTTTTACTCAAGAAGAAAAAGAAGTTTGAAGCACAGTTAGCTGAAGTTGCCATCACATCAGTTGTTGATGACTATGAAGTGGTTGGTGATCAGATCCTTTGATGATTTCCATTAGTGTATTTGATTGAACCAAGTGCTTATGAGCTTGTCCCCATTTTTCAACTTTCTCTTTGTCCATTTCGCTGCTAGACATTCAACACAATAAGAATTGGGGAAGTGTACTGTTAAATAGGGAGTATGTTTGAGAACTTTGATAGTCCACTTGGGTCATAGTCCACTTGGGTCATAGTCCACAAATGGATTATAACTCAAGGTGGATTATAATTGAGAATGTTTGGTAAATTTGGTGGATTAAAATTTATTTTCAATATTAGAGTGTTGGGCAAATGGATGGATTATGATACATCATTGTTGTCAAAATGACGACATGGGTCGGTGGTGAATTATTAAATGAGGTCTGGGGTTTTGTGAAATTATGAGGAGTATCATTGTCTCTTGGTCAAATTTCATCGATTATAATTCATTAAAAAATTACATTGGGTATTCTTTCTGGCGGATTATAGTCCAAAATAATCCACTTGCCAACATCCAAAAGGGTGTCCAGTTTTGTGGATTATGATTTGCTTTTACCATTTGCCAAACATGCTTATAGTATACTTATGAGCTTTTCTTATTACTTTACTTTCTTAGGAATTTCTACGGACAGCCTATGTGTATAGATACGAGGCATTAACCTCTTTTTACTTGAATCAATCAATAAGAGAAATCTTTTCTCGATTCTTGATATTTACTTCCTGAGTAAAACTGAACTTTTTCAGTGCTATATATTCCCAATGAGAATAATTTGCCGCATGATCCATCAGCTTTGATTTAGTGGCTTGGATAAGGGAAAATAATTCCCATTGAGTTTATGTACTTTAAAGTTATTATATCACAAAGTTTTGTTATTATTGTTTATATTCTTCTTCTTTACCTTTCTTAATCAAGAATCCGATTGATCACACATTGCACTCTGCTATCGAAATATGACAAATTTGTACTAGGTAGTTTGTGCCCTTTAGCCTTTTAGACACTTTGCTTATCAACAATATTATGAGCTCAGTATTATGCTTGAACATTATCTCTTATCGGAATATGACAGTTTGCAGTCAATTGTGAACCTTATCCTTACCAATGCTGCTGATAGACAATAACAACTCAATTGATGTCTGCATAATCCTTGTTTTTGAGCATATATGTTTTCTTGAGTATATATTTTTGTTTGTGTGCATGTATGTATGAAATGAATTCATAAGTCACTATAGATATGGATCAAATATAAATCGGAAATTGAGGACACATAACCTATAGATATAGAACTACACACAAATCTAGTAAAACAGTCTTTGTTATATGAACAAAAGTACAAAAGAAACACACAAATCTACTTGACCAAGACCCATTCTGTTAATCTGATTTTCATTGCACAAGGAAAGAAAGATTTTGTTGCTCATAGAGCATGCCGTTTGGTAGAACTTGCTTATTTCTAATCCCTTCTATCTCTTGTTTTTCATTTTTCAAACTCTGTTCATGGTGATGGGGTGTTGCTATAAATAGAGCCTAATTGTACTTAATTCAAGATATTAACAGCTTTCAATATTTTTCATGTGTGTGATTGGAGCCATACTTAAGACGTGAAGGGTGTACAATGTGCATCGTCTTAGATAAAAATCATACAGGCAAGTAGGATGCTTTGATTTGTGCATGCCAACACAAATCTTAAAGTTGGTAGTTGGTGACCTCCAACTTCAACTTTTTTGCATAGGCACGTGTCGCCTCCTGATTTTCTAACTGAGACGCATATCACAATCTTCTACTTCATAAGATTTTCTATAGAGGGCCTTCAGGCTTTTTTTGTGTCCCTTCTAGGCCTCAAAACCTTTCCCGTGCCCTTGGCAATCCTAATATTTTACGGCTAAAACAAGTACTCTTAAGACATTAAAGAGTATCCATCAATCACTCAACATGGGCGAATAGGTGCTCTTTGTGTGTCCTAGGATTTATATCCTTCTCTTGTACTTGCCCATCTTAACAGTTCATCACTGACCTAGGCATCCTTGGCACATCTTTAATGTGTCTTAGTGTTAATTTTGCACCTCCTTCTCTTTGTTATTCAAACTCTCACGTCCATCCACTTATGAACATATCTATATTTCCTTTTTCTAAGTAAATAATAGTTTGATTAGTTCAACTGTCAGCATTAATGCATCTTTTTCATTATTATACAGATTCCTTTCTATTATCAGTCTTTTGTTCATCGCCATTCTTCTTGTAAACCCCTCCTCAAATTTTCATTTTGTGTAGACCCTTCTTGGAGGATCACGAGACAAATCATAGTTTTCAGGTCCTATATGCCACAGTGGTATGGGATACACAAAACGGCACTTGGTTAAATGTTTTGTTGAAAATTAGTGATGATGATTGTGCAATAACAACATTTATCTTTTTATATAGAACTGGTAGGGGATCATTGTACAATTTGGAACTCTATAGCAAAAGTCGTAGTTCTAATCGCCAGCTTCCTAAATGTTAGAAGTCAGTAAGAGAGCATTTTCCCCCCAAACTCTAGAAAATAAGAAAGCATTCGGCCTAGTTAACTAGCTATTGCCACACCTGGAAGAGCTCATGTTTTATTTATTTTTCACATTGTAACTATGTTATATCTATGCCACAAAGATCAATACTTAATACTATTCAGTCTTGATAATTATTCTCTAGCGTCATGCATGATGCACTCGACCTTTATAACTTAGCCAATACCACAGTGTACTGTTAGGAATCAAATCAGATCTGCCTACATGTGTGAGAGAGAACAAGAAAGAACAGAAAAGCAATCTTAGAAGACATGAATTTTTACATGGTTCGAGTAATTGGCTATGTCCAGGGCAGCACTAGGGTCTTTCTCTCTTTCTTTCTTTCTTTTTCAATAAAGTTACAACTACATGTAGCATCACCATTTTACCCTTCTGCATAACATATACTTTTTTTTTATGTTGGTTAGTTTTTGCCTAATTACCGAATCAGGGGGTTAGTGTGCACAGTCCAATTAGACACCACTGTTTTAAAAAACCTCCGCCTAGTCCGCTTAGGCGTACGCCTAGACCTAGGCGGTACCTAGACCGCCTAACTAGCACCTAGCGTCTAGACGGTATTTAGACTGTCCACCTAGATTTTACGAGCGTTTAGGGGACAATTGTCTGCTTACGTGGATTGCACCATGTAGGCATTGGTTGTGATTTTATGTGTTGTAACCTACACGTCCTACAAACTCCATTAACCTCCAAATATGAACACCTCCACTACCTCCTCCGACCTTCAACAAAACCTCATCGACCACCACTTAAATGAAGAAAGAAATCCGCCTAGACACCAATCCGACATCTAAGCTTTCTATAACGTTGACATTCACTATTAATTATTATAATTAAAAATAAAAAAGAAAACATTTTAGGCTCTAGCCTTGTTAATTATTATTTTGGCTATTTAGTATCTAAGTATGCATGATTTATTGTGGAACTAAGATTGCTATCTTTTTTTAAAAATTTATATGAATTTAATACATCAATTATTATAATTAAATAATTTAAAAATAGTCAAACACCTAGGTGTCTAGGCATACGCCTAGGGGTCTAGGCGCTGCCTAGGTGTACGCTCTGGGGTCTAGGTGCTAGGCGCTCGCTCAAACACCTAGTCTGTCTAGCGTCTTATGTAATATTGCCGAGCTCCCCCGATCTCTGTAACTACTAACAAGGTAATGAGTACTTCTTAAATATCTATTTAAGTTAGTTAACAACAACTTAAACTTAAGAAGGGTAAGTTAATAGTAAACTTAAATTTAAGTTTAAGTTAATATTAAGTTTTTTGTTAATGGTAACTTAAGTTTAAGTAAACAATAAACTTAAGTTAACAATATTTTAGTTAACAGTAAAATTAAGTTTAAGTTTATTGTTAACTTAAACTTAACAGTAATTTGAGTTGAGAATGAGTTTTTCACTGTTGAGATGAACTTATAATTTGAGTTGAGAAGTATAAACATACAAAGAGCTATTGTAATTGGTAAACCAAGCAATTTAGTTAATAGTGTTGGTATTTTAGTATTTATGCATCTTTGATTGAGTATATATATATATTTATCTTCAAGTATCACAATTAAAAAAAAGAAAAAAGGAAAAAACCGTCCAAAAACCGCTTAGGCGACTAAGCGCTGGGCGCCAAGTCCGATGCCTAGAAACGCCCAACGTTTAATGTAACATTGTTAGACACCATAACTCCAACAATCTTCCGCTATAAAGGATTAATAATAAAGATCTGATTAAGGAAGAAAGAAAAGTTCGCCTTAAGTGCAGGCCTTAGTATTATGGAATTTCCCTTTTGGATGCTGAACTCTTCTTTAATCCTTTTTTTTTGGGTAAATGAACAATTTTATTCATTCACTATTGAAAACATTTGTACAATCACATAACTGCAGGCATCTCCTGTGTTTATAAAGAGCTCACAGATACTACAATCACACAATCATTACAACAGTACAAGTTTTCAACTCATGATTTATGCTCAAAAGAAACAGGATGATGCAAATAAACTCAACAACACAGCAGCACAGCAGCTTTGACCTTGCCAATAGCTTGTTGTGCAGAGCATATCACTCCTCTATCCATCCTCTTGTTTCGCTCCATCCATATGGTATAAACTGTAGCCAATAGAGCAAGCTTCTTCGCTCT